ATCTTTGGGCAAAAATTTAGGTGTCAACATATGATGCAAGAAAAAAAAATGGTGCATTAAGGTTGGGGATAATTACCAAAAAAATTCTAAATCCATTGTATATAAACTTTTCAATTTGGTGAATTTAGTTTTAAACTTTTAATGAATTGTCAATGTAGTCATTCCGGTTAATTTTAACTAAAAATCGTTGACGTGACGGTTTAGTTAGTACTGGCATTTTATGTGACATGGCCGGCATCGGCCTACGTTGACACGAGCTATTTTTGCAATTTTCTAAATTTTTTCTTTTTTTCCTTTTCTTAGCTTTTTTTTTGTTTCCCTTCCTCAGTTGCCAAGGCCCCGACGACCGGCGGAGGGAAGAAGATGAATAGAAAAAATAAAAAAAAATAAAAAGAATAAAATGAAAGGAAAATTTTTAGAATTTTTTTTAAAAGTTGCAAAAATTATCCACGTTAGCGTTGGCTGACCGGAAGGTGTATAGAAAAAACGAGAGAAAAAAATGAAAGGAAAAATTTGGGAAATTTTTTAAAAAGTTGTAAAAATATCCACGTTAGTTTCGGTAGGATAGCCGACGCTGAATGGACAACTACATAAGTGATTTCTACCTAAAATTGATTGGATGGACTATATTGAAAAATTATTAAAAGGTTTTTATGAATGCATTAGTCAAATTGAGAAGTTTATGACTGAATTGACAGTCATACAATATATCTATGACTTTTTCGAAATTTTTTCCTATTTAATCCCACATCATTTCAGGGGATAAGAACACTAGGAGTACCATAACTTTTGTACGACGCTCACTTAAGTGCCATAACTTTTTCTTTTGCTCGTTTGAGTGCTACATCGGAGTAATTTTGTTAATTTGAGTGCTTGTTCCGACAATTCATCATACGTGGGTTTTTTACTTAATTTTTTAATTTGACGTGGCTTTCTAAAAATAAATTGAAGTCCAACATGAAAAATCTTCGTCCAACATGGCAAGAGATTAAAAACTGTCGTCGTTTCTCTCTCATTCTCTCTAAAATGCCTCCTCTACAAAAATGACAATGTCTCTCTTATAGTTCCTTAAAATACAACTCTCTCTCTCTCTCTCTCTCTCTCTCTCTCTCTTTGTATGCTTCCTCAAACGACGACATTTCTCTTTCTCTCAAAAAGCTTTCTCTTTGACGCTCGTAAACCCCATAAATGAAGAAGCTTCCTCCCTCTCGTGCATGCTCTGTCTTCTTCTTTACTCACTCTCTCTTGCTCACTCAGTGTAATCTCTCTCACTCGACAGAGACCAGAGGCATAGGAAAAGGCGACGGCGTGGAGGGAAAAATTAGGGCTTGTACATGACAAATCTTGTTGGAGTTCGTAGCCCACAATAGCAAAAAAGTTGACCTTCTCATGGCTTTATTGATACAATTGTGAGCTACTTCTCTTGCTTTTGCTCCCCATTGCGAATTTGATAAGGTGATTTGCCCGAATTTGAAGAATTGGGGTTCAGTCAGGGTTCTTGAAGAAGGAAGTTGAATTTCACCCCAATTTCTTTAAACTAGGTAAGGGTTCTTCAATCAGATGTCTAAATCATGTCGTTTGCCTTCTCAGTTGCTGACTTCATCTTACCAGTGAGCCATGTTGGATGATGTATTATTAAATAATGCCACATTAGATTTTCCAGGGAGACACATCGCCTGTAGCACTCAAGTGATTAATTTTTAATAATTTTGGCACTCAAGTGAGCACCATGCGAAAGTTACAGCACTCCTATTATTCTTATCCCTCTTTCAAGTTATATGTGTACTTCTAAACTTATAATGTGAGAAAACTATGAGCATTTTTCATCAAATAAGTTAGGTTATTAACTAGCTACTTTCAATATGTACATTATCAATTCAAATAAGTGATGTCTCGAACTTTTTTAATTATGTCTCTCATAGTAGAAAATTTTTGTTAAAAAGATTAAGGAAACTATTGGAAATTATGATCCATTTTCATGAACTATCTAGTCTTCTCCGGCTGTGTCCAAGATCGAAGAAGAGAAGTCAAAGAATTAGATTGGAAAATCTTTAAGAACAAATTAAAAGTTGAAGAGTCCAAGTTGAAGAAGAAGCTAAAGTTGAAGTCAAATCCTTAGCAGCTAAGTTTACTTAAGGCGCGTACTATAAGTTTCCTTATTTAGATTTGATTGAATTATAAGATTAAAAAGAATTGTCGAACGATACTTATTAATTAAATCTTATGAACTGCTCTCTTGTTTTCTTTCTTCTTTGAATCAATTTTATATTAAGTGGTCTTTAGATAAAATTGTATCATGTAATACTTATATCGTGACAACTTATGCAGTATCGCCGGCTAATCAATTTTTTTTTTACCTTATCTAAGCAAAAACTCGAGTTTCTCTATGTATAGAAAATAGAATACAAGCCCTAAAATATGTATGCTTAATGATTTATTGATAACACGTCGATATGTCTAATATAATTGTCCCATAATATACTATTTTCGTGCTTACATGAGCCAAACAATTTTGGCTACGAAGACATATTATGCAGGGCAAATAAAGAATAGAATTCTATATATTTTAAAACAAAACACCATTTCGTCTTACTTTTTATTTATTCCAAAGTTACCCGTTATGAAAATTAATATCAACTTTCATCCACCACCTAAGCCTCACTTTGGAGGTGATTCTCATTTTTCTTTTTCTTCCTTACGTGTGCTCAACACTAGTATTTAATTAAGGGAACTTTCCCATATGCACAATCTTGTTCTTCCTAATCAATGGCTTCTTGCTCTTTACACGGATGAATTCCACTACCACATTCGCCGTCCCCAGTCAATTTTTCCAAGGCCCAATATTATTCTAACATACATTGCCAACCAAATCGTGTACGTGTAATTTGGTCTTATTGTCGATGGATAAATCCTTCTTTGTTTCTTTCCACAACTCTTTAATTAAATTATGTCATGGGTTCAAAGTCCAATTTGGACTTCATATCAAACCATGTAACGTTAGTTTGGAGAACACAGCAATTAACTAACCCATGTCGGAGACAGCTCAGCAAGGTTTTTTCTTTTCTTCTCAAAGTTTAAAGTTAGTACTTTTCATCATATTGTTTGAACTTTCGTGGGATGTTGAGCTTCTCTCCTCCTAGAGTAGGTAGGTCACATCGATCGAGCCACGTAAATTTGGTGCGCCATTTATTTCCTTGTTTTATTTATTATTGTGTTCGATCACTCGACGTCCTTGATAATCAGTCCATACAATTTTAGTTCCATGTTCTGAACTGAGCATTGCACCTAATAAGACAATACAATTCACCCCAACACAGTCACCTATGAATTCCCTCAAAATCCAACTTCATGTGGAGTGAATTGTCGAAACCAAATTTAATGCAAGAACAACAATCAAAGGACTGAAATCACATGAGCAAACGGACAGCTTCAGGAACAAAAAACCTCTAACGCACAAGTTGGAAATTCAACTTTTGCACAATGTCTATGAACCAAGGGTATTGAGCCGACAAGTCGGTTTATAGACACTGTGTGAAGCACAGGTCGACTCAGTAGGTGTCGAAACACCACCTTATCTCATCACCCCGGGCGCAGGAGGCTACTATACCTGCCTACCCGGCGGTAGCTAGCCCAAGCTGACGTGGTGTATATCTTCACTACCTGAGGTCCCCTAATTCCCCCTAAAGGCACTAATTTATCAATCAAGGAAAAAGAATATGGAGATGTCAATCAAAATCATAAGATGATTATTGGAGATGCTAGAATTAAGTGATTGACAACTCTTGTAATATAATGATTCGTAAGTTGTCAATCATTTGATTCTAGCATTTCCAAAAATCATATTGTGATTTTGATTGATATATCTCTAGATTCTTCTTCCTTGATTGATAAATCAGTGCCTTTACCCCCTCTATCTTTTTCTTCCTGAAAGAGAGAGAATACGGGAGGTGACATTGGGGAGTCCGACCCCTCGGGGGTTCTTCCCCTTGTTTTCTTCCCTTGAGCCTTTTAAGGACCTACTCAGGTCCGTGCAGTGAATTATCGAAACCAAATTCAATGCAAGAACAACAATCAAAGGACCGAAATCACATGAGCAAAAGGATAGTTTAAGGAACAAAAAACCCCTAACGCACAAGTTGGAAATTCAACTTTCGCACAGTGTCTATGAACCAGGGGTACTGAGTCGACAAGTTGGTTTATAGACATTGTGCGAAGCACAGGTCGACTCAGTAGGTGCCGAAACACCACCTCATCACCCTAGGTGCAGGAGGCTACTATACTTACCTACCTAGCGGTAGTCAGCCGAAGCTGACGTGGTGTATATCTTCACTGCAAGAGGTCTCCTAATTCTCCCCTAAAGGCACTGATTTATCGGAAGAAGAATCTGGAGGTATCAATCAAAATCACAAGATGATTCTTGGAGATGCTAGAATCAAGTGATTGACAACTCTTGTAATATAATGATCTCTTCATTTATTATTTTTCATTGTTGTATTGTTTCCTTACGAATCATTATATTACAACATTTGTCAATCACTTGATTCTAGCATCTCCAAGAATCATTTTGTGATTTTGATTGATATTTTCATATTCTTCTTCCTTGATTGATAAATTAGTGCTTTTATCCCCTCTATCTTTTTCTTCTCGAAAGAGAGGGAATACGGGAGGTGACATTGGTGAGTCCTGCCTTTTAACGATCTGTTCAGGTCCTCATGTGCAGTGAATTATCGAAACCAAATTCAATGCAAGAACAACAATCAAAGGACCGAAATCACATGAGCAAAAGTACAGTTTAAGGAACAAAAACACCTCTAACGCACAAGTTGGAAATTCAACTGCAAAAAGCAAAGTGATGAAATTGTACCCATCATTGCCGCTGACGCAAGCCCACCAATCCCTAGTATTCAACGTGACAGTGACATGAGAACTTAAGTACGAGTTTGCCGCACACTTTGGTTGACTTATGTGCATTACGCGACTCTAAGTCATGTACAGAATTTTCTCAAAAACTTAAGATGGAAGCAGATGAGCTATTTGACTATATAGGGACCGTTCTCTTTCTTAACCAGACTGTTCTCATTCCATATCATTCATATTCATCTATCACTGACTTCGCACTCCCATTCACTCGTTTTTGGAGCTCTCCAGATCTGGTCTCTCCCGCAGCTATGGCAGAGAAGGTGAATCCTCCTCCTCTTTCCTCTAACTCTTCTCTCTTGATACCCACCACTTCCATTTTTCTTCCCTTTTATTTTCTGGGTCATTTTTTTTTTATCATTCTGTGATTGTGATTCTTCAGAACAATTATCTCTCCATTTGGGTTATTATTTTGTTGGGTCCATCTTGTTCATTTCTCTGTTTTGCATCTTCCCGTGATACTTTCTCTGCAAACGATTAGGAAAAGGAAAACCTCCCTTCGAATTCATGGCTTTATTGATTTTTTCATTGTTCTTGTTTGTTGCAGGTGACCAAAATGTTGATAAAGGTGGATTTACAGTGCTCGCGCTGCTACAAGAAGATCAAGAAAATTCTCTGTAAATATCCCCGTGAGTCTCTCTCTCTCTCTCTCTCTCTTTTTTTTTTTTTTTTTGCTTCCCCACTTTTTAGTTTCAAATTGTTATCATTTCTTGATTTGTAATTACTATTGCGTTGGTGTTAAATTAATTCGACTGAGTTTGCTATGAATTAATTTGTGAACAGGAGAAATCCGAGACCAGATATACGATGAAAAGAAGAACACGGTGTTAATCACCGTCGTGTGCTGCAGCCCGGAGAAAATCCGGCAGAAGATCATCTGCGAGGGCGGCGAGACGGTGCAGAGCGTCGAGATCCTGCCTGACAAGGATACCAAGAAGCCCAAGAAGGTCAGGTTCATTGAGCCGCCGAAAGAAACTGCCAAGCCGCCTGCTCCTGTGCCAGTGCCAGCACTGCCCCGGAAAGCCCCCAAACCTGCTCCTCCAAAGGCTCCACAGCAGATGCCTGCGCTGCCGCCCCCGAAGGCGCCAAAGCTGGTGGTGGGCTACCTGCCAGTGCCGGGGTATCCGGTGGTGTGGAGGAGGCCAGTGATGGGTGCTGTGATGGATGCGGGAGACCAGCCGATGAGGGTCAAGGTGAAAATAGAGGTTGCTATCCTGGGCAGGGGATGCCAGTGATGTGCGATGATGGATGTGGAAGACCGGCTTGTGAGTGTCGGTAGGAATAGAGGTTACGACATGAGTGAGCCGATGTGATTACTTTAGTGAAGAAGATGCCACTGCATGCACCGTCATGTCATGGGATCCAGTTCAAAATTTCTCATGTCAATTACTGATGTTGTAACTTGGTGAAAGATACATAAGTCTAATTTTTAGGGCTATCTTGGGGTCTTTATCTTTGTGTGTATACAAAAATTGATAAGGTTCGTGGTCTAGAATGGTGGTATATGTGGTTAGATATGTTCAACACATGGATTGCTGCTTGTTGATTTCTTCATTTCAATAAAATTGAGTCCTGTTCATGTCTCCTCTCATCCCCTCATTCAGCACATATCCATGTCTCTTGCTTGCCACTATGGTGATTCATTCTGTGAAAGAGCAGGTCGAGTCCACTATCGAATAACCTTCACAAAATGAAATGATACAAAGATGATTGTGATTTTATCATTTGGCTTGATGTTATTGGTATTTGTTATAGCCATAAATTCTACATCTACTCTCTGCTTGTTCCTGCATAAATTGTGGCTCTTCAAAATTCTAAACTCAAACCCCTCTCTCACTCTCTTCGTCTGCCATGAAGTACAACTAGTGATCGCTTCTTGGTTTGGGCCCAAAAGAGTAGTAGTTCATTGGAAATCCTCTGATTCCAAGAGGGGGCGACTTGCTTTTGTGCAATCTAAGGAGGTGGACGCAATGCCATGTACAAGATTTCACAGTTCACAGATATCACCTGGTGACTATCTTTTGATAAGGTTCCCTAAACTAGTGTCAGTGGAAGTATGTCAAGCTCTTGATACAAGAGCAACATCACACTTAACATGATAAAAGTATGGTTGTTCCTTTAGACAAGCTGAAGTACTCCGATTGTGATGACTTGGGCTCAAGAATCACGAGCCAAGGAGCTCTCGTCCTCGTGCTGTGCTCCTCTTTGGAAGCGACGGACCGCCATGAGGTGCACACTCCACCAAAGGCTATGAAGTCTCCTATGGCTAGCTGTCGAGTGATGAGCTGTAGGAGCTCTTGCCGGTGTTCAGCCCAATCCGCCATTAGTCCGCCTTTGTATGATAAGGTTCTCATGAGAAAGGGCCGGATAGGGGGTTTGCTGTACTGGTGATTAGGGGTGTATTGGTGGGCGGCACTCGAGTGACATGCACACCAGTTCCAAAATTGGAGCAGCCTTCGTTCATGGCCGCAGAACTGACCGCCGGTCCGTCGTCTTTGGGGTACAGTGGCCGGTTTTCCTAGCAGTAAAAAAAAAAATGCCCTCGGATCACAACCAACGAAAAACATCTTTCTTAATTTTCTATGATCGATTATATTAATCATTCCAGTGGAGTCCCTGTGATAATTAAAAATTTTAAAAATAAAATATATTATTATTATATTTTCTTTGTCGGCCAATCATCGCATCTACTGGTGATATATGTGAATATGGGTACAGGAAGATGGGGAAAACAATCTTTTCTGTGTTTTCTTTGTCGGCCAATCATCGTGCCCAATTATAATTCTATGAAAATCAATAATTATGATGTAATTTTTCAATGTTCACACACATTTAAATGTGAAACGGGTTAACCACGTCTTTGGTCGAGGAGAGGTGCATGATATGCTTACTAGATCAGCTCCGATGGCTCTTATGGGCCATTGAAAGATCCTATTGAAGATTATACCCATCATATGAAAGGAAATAACACACAGCTCGTCAAGCCTTTCAGTAAAGTGTGCATTCCAGTGAATGAAACACTTTGCATTTCCGAATGAGTTTGCTTTGAAAGATGGTGTACACCTATTGTCAATGCATTTTAATTTTACTTTACAAGGTTCAAGGAACAAGACCACTATAGTTGATTAGAGGAAAGATATCGTAGAAATAAGTTCTGAAAATTAGATTGGGCCTTGATAGATGAGCCTTGTTAGCCAGATCAGAATGGAGAATAGAGGCCTATATGGTTGCCCAGAGAAGATCCAACTGTGGTTGCTGTTCAGAAAGAGAAACCTTCCAGCTTCAGTTTAGCTGGGCAGGTGGATCTAGAGAACATAGATAATGTCCTTGACCTACTCTTTTTAACTAGATGATGTCCTTTAAAGTTAGCTAAACTTTCGACACAACATGACAACATAATCTCCCGCAAAGCAACTGCATGTTCATTGCATATCGGTGTCAGCTTACCCTACGACTAAGCATAAACGCGAAATCAATGATGTTACTTGACCTTTCATCCTTGCTCGCAAAGCATCATACCCCTATTTTATCTCACTGCTGTTCTTGACTTTTATGATTTAATAATTATGAGAGAACTTAAAACAAAAAATTTAGAACATAAAGGCAAAGCACCACGAATCCTGACTCTGATAGATTCATCTACGATGGACAATGAAACTCAAGCAACATACTAGCTCTGCTTTTAAATGGCAATATCGGCAAGATAAACGCAAAGTGTAACTTCTGGTGCAGTTTCAGTGAATGATAGTGACCAATCTAGTTGCACGTTTGGTTCGTTCGGTCTAACTTGAAACCAAGTTGCCCCTAAACTGCATGTAACATCGTTCTTGAAATACACAAAATGTGCAAATTATGCTTGACATGCGGGTCGAAGAGCTTTCTTCCTTTTGTTTGTCTTAACGACAAGAAAGCTCACTTTAGGTCCTTTAGATAGGTAAATCCCAAGCTTATGAAATACCCTGTTAATATCATGGACCGAGTAAGGCATGAGCACAAACTCGGGCACGTGGCCCAAATTGTGATTTGCTAAGTATGGGTAATCATAACGTAAACATCATCAATCTAGCAAATTATACAATGACAGATGTGAGGGACTTTCTCCCCACAGCCCTCCCCCCCCACAGGCATTGATGATGCCTTTCAAATGGGGTTCTGCCTTTCGATTTTAACCTTATGCTTATCCTTTCTTTTTTCTACTATGATAGCCAAAATTTGGAAAGAAAGTTCATAAATTGAAGATTTACAGACCATGAGTGGAGACAGTGCTCAATATTGGGTCAGAATCGTAGTTGCCATCCAAAGAAGTTTGCATGGCACCAGCAAATTACGTCCACCAATTTATTTTGCTACAGTTCTGGTTGATATCTCAAAGCAAATGGACATGTTTGTCAATTTAAGGAAATTGGAATCTTCACAATTACATTTGTGAGGACAGAAAGAAAAGATGGTGCACCAAGGTTCAACCCCTCATATCAAGGAAATAACACATGTTCGGTCTTGCCTTTCTATAGTGTATTCTAGAGAAGAAACACTTTGCACTTACGATTAAGTTTTCTTTGAAAAGATGGTGTGCACCTCTTGTCAATGCAGATCTATATCACTTTAGTAGGTTCAATGAACTAGACCAACATGATTGACTAGAGGAAAATTACTGGACAAAAAATTTGAAAAATAGAATGGGCCTATAATAGATATGCCTTATTATAAAGATGAAAATGGGAGAATAGAGGCCTATATGGTTGTTCAGAGAAGCTTCCAGGTTAAGATATAGCTGGGCCGGTGGACCTAGAGAGGAAAGAGAATGTCCTTGCCCTTCTCTTTTTTACCTAAATGGTATCCATTAAAGTTAGCTAGGAACTTTCGACACAATAGGACGACATGATCTCTGGAAACAAATGTTCATTGCATACAGATAGAGAGAGATAGATCATATTGGTTATGCCCGTTCAATTTATGACCTAGCATAAACGCGAAATCAAAGACATTTCAGTACACGATCTGTTATCCTTGCTCACGAAGCATTATTCCCTCCGTTTTATCTCACTACTGACCTTTATTATAATGACGCAAGAGTTATCAGAGAACTTGAAACAAAAAATTTGAATATAAAGTCATAGCACAACTCATCCGTACCGTAAATGACACTTAGGTGCAATCATAGCTCTGCTTTTAATTGGTAATATCGGCAAGACAAACGCAAAGTGAACTTCCGGTGCATTTTTAGTGAATGATACTGACCAGTCTAGCTGCACGCTACTGGAGAAATTATAAAAAAAAAGGTTCTAAACTTATTGCATTGGTATTAATTTAGTTCTAAATCTCTTAATTTGACTAACTTTATTTTAAACTTTTTAACGATTTGTCAATATAGTTATTTCGATAAATTTTGGCCGGAAATCATTAACATGGACGCCAACCGCCCTACGTTGCACAACCGAAGTTGATGTGGACAATTTTTTTAAATATTTTTTTGAATTTTTTTCTTTTTTCTTCTTTCTTTCTTTCGTTTCGTTTTTTTTTCTTATAAGCTTGGTGCCGTCTATTGGGCAAGCGTAACCCTCGCCCGCTGCCGGCAAGGGCTTCGCGACCCTCACCACATTTGGGCGAGGCCTGGGAACCTTGCCTACGACGGGCTAGTGTTGCATGGCCATCGTCCAGTGCCCGGCGAAGGTTGTCGACCCTTGCCTGTGGTTGGCGAGGGTTGGCCAACCCTCGCTGGACTTGGTAAGGAAAAGAAAGAAAGAAAAAGAAAAAGAAATTATAAAAATTTAAAAATTATAACGTTAGCGGCGGCTATCCTATGTGGCATGGCCAGTATCTATGTTAGCGATTTCTGACCAAAATTGACCGTAAGGACTATATTAGCAAATCATCAAAGGGTTGAGGATTAAATTGGCAAATTAAAAGGTTTCATACTGAATTGGCATAAGTACAATAGTTTTAGGAATTTTTTGGTAATTTTTCCCACACTACAGTATGGTAGGTCTAACTCTAAACCATATTGCCCCTAAACTGCATTTAACATCATTCTTGAAATACACACAATGTGCTCATTTTGCTTGACATGCAAGGTCGAAGAGCTTTCTTCCTTTTGTTTGTCTTAATGATAAGGAAGCTCACTTTAGATCCTTTGAACAGGTAAATCCCAAGCTTACGAAATACCTCTTAACGTCTTGGATCGGGTGAGCCGTGAGCCAAAATCGTAGTAGGTGACCCAACCGTATTTAATTATATTTTTGATGATGAGCTCTCTTCTTTAGGTTTGGTGTAGACTCTATCATATCCAAAGTCGTAATTTGCGAAGTATAAGTTATGATAACATAAACATGATCAAGCTATCTAATTATACAATGACCAATGTGAGGCATTATAATGACATTGGTGATGCCTTTCCAATGGGTTTCTCCTTTCAGTTTAAACTTTATGCCATCTAAAGAAGTTTGCATGGCACTGCAAAGCCAAATGCATTGATCAATTACGTACGTCCACCAATTTATTTCCCCACATTTCTGGTTAATGTCTCCAAGCGAACCGCCATATTAGTCAATTTCGCGAAATTGGAAAAGAGTTGCACGTCACCGCTA